TCTACAACGGGCACAGTAAAGGCGTTTACAGTAAGTCTTTCTACGACAGACCAACGGACCACGAGTGCCCCTGTCGGTCAACCAATCACGCACCGCGGTATTGCGTGTCATCTTACCTGCGGTATCTGTACTGCGGTGTCTGTACCGCGCACTTTGAATGGCTGCATCTGTACAGTATATAATCAATGTCAGTTATCTTGGTCACACGTGGAAGTGGAAAAACAAGTGGTTCTTTTAACAAAGGTTATTTTAGAAAGACAGACATTTCTGATGCAGATTTTGTTCGTAATGAAACAAATTAAATCTGGGATTGAGAAAACTTGAGAAATTTAACTTGAAAGTAAGCTGAAAGTCTGATCTTGTTGACTTGGTTGACTGCTGTGCTGTCATAGAGATAACTTCCTTTTTTGGCTTAGAAACTTAAAGTATGCAAATCTTGCTCCATAAGAGATACTACATATTTTGTCAAGATGTTTTTAGATGTGTAGTGAATGAGTAGGTACTACTAAACAGTTCTTATTAGCATTCCCTATAGTTTTACTTTACATTGTAAACTTACTGCTTGAATGGAGGTATGAAAAGCTGTTTTAACTGTACAACCTGTCATTTACAAATCAGTGAAGGTCACGTAACATGATGTAAAGGTCTTTAATTTAAAAAAGTGTTGTGTCCAACAAAGGAGACGCGATCCGGGTGTGTATGAAGCAGGCATTACCTTTATTATGTGTGCACATGGGAGCCAAAACCGATGAAGCACTGACTCAACTTATTGGTACAAAAGGACGCTTTTTATACAACATCACAAACAGAAAACCCACCCAGAACAGTTTCAGTACAATTCCATGCCATATATGGTGTAAAGCCAAGGCTGCTAGCCTTGGTGCGTAATAAACTGTAAGAATATTCTTGGGTTTCTTTATTTATTTTTTAAGCAGACACTATGTACTTCTAGATTTTGTTAATTGTGTCTTAAAGCAGATATCAGGCGTTCTCAGTTCTGGTCAGGCTGCCCGAAGCTGGCTCTGCCCTTCACGTTCCAGGCGCATAGCCAGCTCACACTTAAGTTGCAGTTAGTAATTTTCTGTTATTCTAGCAGGATAATTAGTAAATGATGTTAGTAAATTATTTACACAGTAAAAGCAAACTAGTGAAATAAGATATAAATAAATGTTTGATCCCTCAAAAGAGAATAAACATTGTATTTCTAACAATGTATCTGACATTTTATAAGACAAATTCTCTCACTAGTGACCATAATAAATATATCAATATTAAAAAACGTGTGAAATAAATCCCTAAGAATTGTATAATAATTGTAAGATGGTATACATTGCATGCAGAAAAAGATTTTTTAAATGTAATCTGTGTTAAACATAGAAGTATAAAGAGTTACTTTTTAGTATGGTTGGCAAGCACTGCCTTATAAATAGTTATTCTTTTGGGCTAGCACAGTAATGTGTGATATTTTGTTAGCTGTGTCAGTGTCCTTTAATGTCCCATTAATTTAGTGTTCTGCTTTGTGGTAGAATTTTGTTAGCATTTCTGTGCTGAGTTTGTATGTTCTCCCGTGTTTGTGTGCATTTCCTTCAAGTGTGGTTTCTTCCCACATGCCAAAGATAAATTTGATTCTGGGAGAACTGTCCCTGGTGTGAGTGTGTGCATGTTTGTGTTGGTCTGTGAGTACCCTGCCATAAACTGGTGTCCCATTCAGGATGTATTCTACCTTTTGCCCATTGCTTACTGGGATAGGCTTCAGGTCTCCCACGAGCCTGTATTGGAAAAAGCAGTTAGAAAATGGATGAATGGAACCCTTGGAGTATGTATTTTATCATGCATTTCTTGAAATGTGAACAAATTAAAGGTCACTATCATACAAATAAGTTTTCTGTTTTCTCATAGATGACAGTGGAGAATCTGAAGGCAGAGAATGATCAGCTAAAGACAGGGACAACTGCTCCCAGTTCTGCCCCTCCCTCATCCATCTCCCAACCACAGAGTTTGACCACACTGCTTACCTCATCATCACCACGGCAATCTATGGCCATGTCCCTCACCCAGTCCTTCAGCCTGAGCCTAAGCGAGTGCAATGAACCAGGTATGGTGGTTAATATCAACTCATGAGAAACTTTATATGCTATTTGAGTTACATTCCCCCAATAGTTTGGAAAAAAAATGATTCACAGGTACTGTAGGAGAGGTTCCTGAAAGGTTAAGCAGTTTGTATATTTGTGCATAGTGCATTTTGGATAACACCAATTTGATTCTGGGATTTGTCAAAAGTCTCCAACCTGGCACAAAGTTGGCCAAGTGCTGCCCATTTTAAATGTTCGTGATTCAGCCAGACATACTTGGCTTGCTGTGCCTCAAAAAATCATGTCATCTTACAGTGGCACTTGTGAGTTTGCAGTTTATATCTGTTTGCAGACAGAAGATGTGAAAGAAGATTCAAAGCGTATGCATCCCTGCATACACTGTATATTACAAAGTGTTATGATCTTGCAGTTCTGTAATAAATCTGCAGTTACCTCTTTCAATGAATCATATTTACCCTGACCTATTCCACATTTAAAATTTACTGGAGTGGAGCCTGTCACTCATCGGCCTGAAAACCACAGTAGAGCAGGTTTTACAGATTAATCCTTAAATAGATGGGGAATAATTTCATTTTTATATGTTGTACTAATCATTGCTCAATTCAGTAAGAGCATGAAATATTAGTCCTCTACACCCTTACAAGGCTGCTCCATGCTGTACTGAACAAATTATACTACTAGATAACATAATTAAAAACTGTTATCAGAAACTGTGTAGAATTAACCTTGATTGGGGCACTCTAGGGCAAGTCAGGACTATCCCTGTAGAAAAAGTATAATAAAAAACCACAGAGATGACAGTACCTTTAGAAACAAAATCTGGACAGCTTTGATAGTTCAGAAGTGTAATAAGGATTTAAGATGTTTCTCCTCAGAGACAAGTCTATTTCTCAATCCCTCAAACTTCCTTTTCTCTTCAGATTTGTCTCCAATGGACGCGATGAGTACTTCCTCCCAGAAGGATGAGCATCGTCTTCGTGTGGTGGTCTGTGTGCCAGATCTGCAGATTTTCAAAGATGTAAGTGCCTCTATTCAGCCCTGACTTCAGATAACGTTAAAAATGGATGGCATTTATGTAGCACTTTTCTGCTCAAAGGATCCCAAAGCTGCCCTCATGCATAAGCTGGTTCAAGTCATGCTGAAGGTTGATGCAGTTACCATGTGTGCAGAAGTATCTTGGTAGGGCTCTGTAATAAGACAGTTAAAACTAATGAAGAAAGTTTAGATTTTTTATTTTTGCATCTTTGCTCTCGAAGTTACTGCTATAATGCTGCTTTCCTATGAAGTTATAATATATTCTCTGTTTATAAAATAGATTTTGTAATCTAGTTTTGAAAATGAAATGAAAGTTAACCACAACAAATTGACATGACTGGCTGCTCTGCTCTTGTCCAGGATGTTAAACAGCAGGATTTCTTCATTGGCTCAGTGAAAATCAATGCAAAGACAGACTGGACCATGCTTGACAAAGCGGTCATTCAGGCCTTCAAGGTGACTTCTTAATGTGTTTTTATCGAACTTTAACACCCAATCACCATTTTTTATTTATTTACTTTTCAGATATTCTTTTAAAATTGTTTATTTAAGTTTGCATGAAAATGATGAATTAAGTGGAGTACATTCTAGTTCTTGTTGTAAAAAGCTGCTATTCTTAAAATAGGTATCTATTTCATAGCTATCTTTGAGTAGTGGCTACAAGTCTGAGTGACTGGAAAAATTCAATCATTTAATCAAATTTAAATAATTTTAAATTAAATAAAAATAATAGGATTAAACAAAAAGAAAAAAAAACTAACAGAATACTGTTAATTTAAAGTTAACCTTTTAATGGGCTTACTGTGGTTCACAAAGTTTTAGACTATAAGTGTTTCAGTTGAAATCTACTTTCTATTTACAGTAATTTCTTCTTTCAGTTAAGCTCCTATTAAGCTTCTTGGGACCTATGGTTCATTGCCAAAGCCTAGGAGAATTTTAATCTTTGGTCTCCCAATATTTGGATATTTGGTCCCCTGATCCAGGTTTTACTGTAAGCCTACTGATTTGACAGTGTGTTTTACAGCTTTTAATACTGACGTCCTTTTATGTGTAATTCTGTTTTATAAAGAAAATTGAAATCAATTCTAATATATTAGAATTCAACACAAGATCCTGATCACAATAAAATGAAGAAAAACCGCAAAAAAGAGGAATAGTAAAGAAAGGGGACTGTTTAAATGTATTTACTGAACCGTGTGTACAGCCACAGCTTATTATAGGGAGTATTTCACAAATTCTCAACAACAAAAATGAAGGATTATGGTTTAAAAGTGAGAAATAAAACTGCTGTATGAGGAGACAGGCTGATTAGATTGTGTGCACAGAGCTTCAAAACTTAGTTTAAACCAGACCCATTGTCACTCTTCCTCCCATCAGGACTACATTATAGTTGTGGACCCTGCCTCCAGTCTAGGATTATCTGTTGACTCCATCTATAGCTACAGCATCAACAATGGCAAAAGGATCCTGGGTACAGAGACACCTGAAGTATTGCCATCCAGATGTATGAGCAAAGGAGTCAACAACATCTCTGTGACATTGAAAGGTCAGTTGTATGAAGGGCACATGAGATGTATGTATTTTTTGTGGTAAAGGTCAGTGATTGTATCCCTATTATGATGGTTTAAATGAGGAGTTATGTTAGCATGCAGTGGCATGTCCTTTTCAGATGTATCTTTCAATATCAAACTGCCCTTCCCCTGCTTTGACATATTAAGGAACAGTAGGCTAGATGACTAATTCTATCATGTCTCTAACATCACGGATAATAACCTATTTGTTATCACTAGTGTTGGAAAACACAGCTAAAATAAGTCTCGTGGTCCTAAGGTTTAAAGTACACTTTGAAACCTCATGAAAGAGAAATGCACTTGAAAACATTGTGTTTTATAAAAGCAAATCATCTAGAATCTTTTGTAGCCTGAGTGAAAAGTAGAATCTTGAAAGTGTATGTTAGACTGTTGGGCTGTTAGACTGGTTACTGTTGTCAGACACAGCAGGGGGTCTTCAGAGTAAGACCTTGGGCACAAGTAAAGTCAAAACATTCTAAAAGTAAATGTCAAAATAAATTACTTTTAAGTCAGTACATAAAAGTGTTCTAGAACTAAGTGGAACTGATTTTTGGTCTCCCAAATCCTGCTACGTTTATTTTCCACAGACTTTAAATTAACCACTGTGTTCCTAGGAACAGTGGAACTCTTATGAATTATAAGTTAAGAAGGATAATTTTCTTCAGTACTCAGAGCCATGTTCTTAAATCATTTTGCACCATTCCAAGTCTGCAGCTGTTCATTAAATCAAAGGAGCATAATGAAGTTATAGGGTGAGACATAAGTTTGTGGCTTCTCACATATAAGCATCTTAAATGTTTAGGTTTTGAAGCAGTAAGTAGTTTTTTTCTTTTCCAACACCAGACAATAACCTGACTATGAAAGAATAAGCTCGGTGTTAGTGATTATAATGCTTTTGATGTCAACTCAGTTATAAGCACATAAGAAAGGTTAGGAATGATAAATGATCAGTAGCTGTTTGGTGCCTTTAACCTGTTTGGTAAATACCGTCCTCCTCATTCCTGCATGAAAAAGAACACCATACAGTACGTGAGTGTCCCCCCAAATGTACACCTTTTTCTTACTTTCACATTGAACAGGGCCACAGAGCCCATTAATTGGTGGAAAGCCATGATTAGTCAAAGGATTGCTATTGTATGGCATATGAGAATTCCCTAACCTGCTCAAGCTCAGCAAACTTTGTCACTTGCCCATTTGTTGATAGCTGCTTGAAGAACCACAGTTTTAGTCAGTTCATGACAGCTCAGATTTCAACTGTTGAAGTCTGAAGTATACAATATAACAGTGAATGAGACACTCAGGAGACCCCATTAACTGTATTTTGTGACATGTCTTTCTTAAATTATTATAATTGGTTTTGCATTTAAAAAATATTTTGAATTTCATGATGACTGAGTATTCTCAAATTGGATAAAGATACTGCTCTAAAATAATTAATCAGTCATTAAACAAGGGCTTATATCTAAAGTGACTTAAAAAGACTGTTGAGAGAATGTTCCATTGCTGTTGTTGAGCTATTTATAAAAAAAAGACTCCATTTAAGAATGTTGTAACTTAGAATGTGTTCCTTTGTCATTTACCTGGGTCTTTAACATCTTTACATTAAAAACAGAAACATGAAGCCTGATGTCAAGAGGTCTTGTTTCACCCCCAACCCCACTTCCTTTCTATAGGTTTGAAGGAGAAGTGTGTGGACAGTCTGGTGTTTGAGACTCTGATTCCCAAGCCCATGATGCAACACTACATCAGCCTACTGCTAAAACATCGACGACTGATACTCTCGGGGCCCAGCGGTACAGGCAAGACCTACCTCACTTCACGTCTAGCGGAGTACTTGGTGGATCGCTCTGGGCGGGAAGTCACAGGAGGCATCACGGTCACATATAACATGCACCAGCAGTCCTGCAAGGTGAGCTCCATTGAGTGGCCTACAACAGCTCAAAATTACTATTGCAATAAATTTGCTCAAGTTTTGTCATAACGTGTTTTTATTTTCTCAAAATACTTAGTTATGAAATGTTAAACCCAATAATCGGTTAACAAGTGTTTTATTCTTGTTTACACTGAGTTATAGCTACCAATTTAATATGATCTTTTATTGTAAAAAAAATGTTCCTCAATCATTTCACATTTTTTACACATCTAAGTAAACAAAAAATAAACAATTAGAAAGGCTTGCCATTTTAAATTGAGAAACCCTCAATATAGCAAAGTTATCTACTTTTCCCCCAATACTTTCAAGGCAGAATTGTGAAATAAATAAGAATTTGCTCATTAGATACTGTATGGCTGTAATTTGAACACATTTGTGTTATTTGTGTAACAGTACCACGTTGTAATATGGCATAACCCTGTATAAATGGTTCTTTATATTATAAAAGGACACAAACAAAATATCTTATATCTTATCTTATGTTATCTTAATATAATATAACATAATATACACATTATCTTGAACTACAGATATTTTCAATTGTAACAACAAAATTACAGTTACACTTGTAACCTTTCTTGAGTTCTAAAGTGATGTTAAGGAATGCAACACAACATCATGTAAATCTGTATAAGAGATATTAAATTATTAAAGCAGTGTATTAAGGCAAAGTATTTATCATCTTTCCATTTTGGTTTTCAGGACCTGCAGCTGTATCTTTCCAATCTGGCAAATCAAATTGATCGGGAGACTAGCAGTGGAGATGTCCCATTGGTTATTATCCTGGATGACCTTAGTGATGCATGTTCTATCAGTGAGCTTGTTAATGGTGCCCTGACCTGCAAATATCACAAATGGTGAGTCAGGATTTTTGTAAGGCCTTCACTCTATTTCCTATCTTGTATTTATAATCTGTTTTTTCCTAACTGCATACAATATCCTGTACTTGTCTACATTAAACATCTTCTGACAAGTGTTTGCCCAGCCTAAACTTTTATCTTTTTGATTTCATTTGCTGCTTCTATAATACTATTGTCCATTCCTTTTGTCCAGGGCGACTAACAAAATGTACTATATAAAGTAAATATAAAAAAGCAATTCACATGTAGCACTAATTTCTATTGGAATTCCATATGATTTGGATGGTTAAGTACAAAGTTAAGAGAAACTATCTTACATGTTTCTTCTTGTTTGCAGCCCCTATATTATTGGTACAACTAATCAGCCAGTCAAGATGACTCCAAATCACGGTTTGCATCTGAGCTTTAGGTATGTGCTGGAAAACTTTGTAGCTCTCCTAATTAGGGTGTATATATATAATAAGATTAAACTGTAATATACTGTGGAATGTACAGTAGCATATTTTTCCTGAGGGACTGCAGTGAAAACCCTGGGTCCAGAAATATGACATTGGGTCCTTCACTGTTCACTTTTATTACTGAACCTGAAAGCTCATGTACTTTGTATACCTCAAATCAGATGTTTGTTTGATTTTCTTTATCATAAAATAATTTGAAAATATGCACTTTCTAGTAGATCTTTTGAAACCTTTAAAACCTGCTTTTATGTTGCTGGGAACTTTTCACATTGTGTTTTCTTCAGAGATGCTATCTCTCTATGCTGAATCTAAGTAAATTAAATGACCAATACAAAGTAGATCAAATTTGCCTTTTCTTTTAAATACTCTGAGATGCAGCAGTTTAAGATTATTAGCAAAATATGAACAACCAAACAAACGTATTAAAAACAGACTTAAAACCACATGCTAAAATTCATGAAAATAGTGCAAACTGCATTTCACCATCAATTTAAATATACTGCCATCAGTCACAAGCAGAAGTCTCTTCTTTCATTTGAGTTTTTGAATGATGATTGAGCCCAACCTCTGTCAGGTAACTCGTGATTCCTATCATCTGCAGAATGGTGACTTTTTCTAACAACGTGGAGCCAGCTAATGGCTTTTTAGTGCGTTACCTGCACAGGAAGCTGATGGAGTCGGAGAATGAGAGCAGCATTTGCAGTGAGGAGCTCATGCGGGTGCTGGACTGGGTGCCCAAGCTCTGGTACCACCTGCACACCTTCTTGGAGAAGCACAGCACCTCTGACTTTCTCATTGGTAGGACTGACACAGAATCCTGGGCAGAATTACTACAAATACCTGCTTTACAGATCCACTATATGAATAGGATTCTTTTCTCATAGGTTATTTCTTGCCAGGTTACCTGATATTAAAACTGAAATATTTTTGCAGTGGAACTTAGGCATGATATTTTATTCTTTCCATATTGCTTTTATTTAAACTAATTAATTTTAATTAAATTGTAGAATAGAATTGTAGAATTTAATTTTGTAATAGAAAATAAAATCTAAATTAAATCAAATACAATTAATTTAAGTATTTTAATAGATTTTGTTTAATATGGTTAATATAATTTCTGTACACCTGGAACAGGTCTCTATTTTTGTGTACCTTTACACCTCTGATCATAATAGATGTCAACCCTTATAGTATGTACACAAGAGTGGGCTTCATGAAATGCTTTTTTTTTTGTTTTTATTAAACTGAATAAAGTATTATTGAATACTGATTTAGCTTAACTGGCTAAGTCACAACACAGAAATTCTGAAGTAAACGAATTTCCTCTAGAACGCACGTTCAAACAGTGTGGTTATTTGTCCGTTGTCCAGACATCCAACCTTTATAAACCTCGCCAATGAATAATCTTGAAATCAAATTCATGTAAAACTAAATTTTTGTAGACTGTAAAATGATAATTGAAACAAATTTTAAGATAATCTTCCTATCAGTTCGGCAGTAAAAGGAGAGATGTGAGGTACTTTAATCCTGGATTTTTTAGAAATGTTCCTATATATGGACTGTTGACATTAAACAGAAAGGTTTCTTCCACATACTTAATTGAGGTCTTGTAATTACTGGTTGTTGGATGGACATGTATGGAGTTAAGATTTTTGCTAAAGAGGAAGGCTGCTTATGAAGGTTGCATATGTCCCTTTGCTGAAAGACATCTGTCTCCTCAGGGCCCTGTTTCTTCCTGTCCTGCCCAGTCACAGTGGAAGAGTTCCGTTCATGGTTCATCGACCTTTGGAACCATTCCATCATACCCTACCTGCAAGAAGGTGCCAAGGATGGTATCAAGGTACAGTATCCTACCAAGCATCCTCTTTATAGAGGAATAAATTACCATTTCAATGTCTGTTAAAGTTTAAGATTTAGCTGTGGACGTGAATCTTTAATTGCTTTGGATACAGATTGTAATAGTTTGATTGTACTCAGTACTTTGTAGATCAAACTTTGTTCTAAATTAATTTTCCACATCTTCACTCTCAAAATATTATGACTTAGTATTAGTATATGATACTTATCATTAGTATATTGAGCATTATGTAGAAGGGGAAATGGAACAGGTTTTGCTTTAAAATTTCAGTTTTCAACTTAAACTATTTGTATACTCATATCTGTAAAGAACTTCTGCTATTTTAATAATGTCACTAAAATTCACATATGTTCCTGAAGGTAACTGAATGTGGAAATAGTGACCAATGCGACTGAACAATTCTGCCTATGTTGTTGCTAGTCATTTAAAAAAAGGACTTCTATTTGTTTCTTAAGGGATTCTTCACTGTCAACTTCAAGAAAGTGGTCAAAGAGTTCATCCCATTACACTGTATTTAAAGCAGTGTCTTGTGTTTTCTGTCTGAATATCTCTTGATTTAATTTTCATTCATGTTCAGTGGCTATTGATGTTGAAGTAGTACCCTGGGTGACTTGTTCACAGCCTTTCAAATACCTGCATCAAATTCCCCGACATAACCTTCTGTGTTCCAGACTAAGAATATTCTGTTCCTTTTGTCTTATATCCATTTCAGACCACAGATTAGTCTGTTTTCTTTCCTTGGTACTCTCTCTTTCCTGCAGCATGGTGACCAAAACTGAAACATGTTCTAAATGAAGTCTAATGGTCATATAATTTTAACATCTATCCTTTTGATTTAAATTCAGTACTTTTAACTACAATTTCATCATGACTGCATTCTGCTGACCATTATCAATGTTTTCCTACATTGACTATTGACTAGACTGTTGAAATCGCCATAAACCCATGTTGTCTGCATGCAAGATGGTTATTTTACCTGTTAATTTTACATTTTTGTCTTTATTTTTTGTTATCTGTACTGTTAGGTTTACATTCTCTTTTTTGGTGTTTTTAAGTTCTGGGCCCTAATATTTTAATAATAGTTTTTCTTCTTTTTTCAGGTGCATGGCCATAAGGCTGTTTGGGAGGACCCAGTGGAGTGGGTGAGGGGTACTCTGCCCTGGCCCTCTGCTCAACAGGACCAGGCTAAGCTTTTCCACCTACCCCCCCCCAGCGTGGGACCAGTTAGCACAGGGCAGGTTGCCGAAGAGCGGGTATCCAAGGAGACAACCCCCAGTTCCCTCGAATCAGACCCACTAGTGAGTAGTCACTAGAGATGCCATTTCTCTTTTTCTCAGTATCCTACTGTTTAAACCCTAGACAAATACTTAATTATCATCCAATCAAACTTTGGTTGATGGATAATAATCCAACTGCTGACTTTCACATTCTGGTCGTTCTAAAGGAATCCCCATCATAATTGAAGCCCATCAGTTCAATAAATTGGTTTAGCACTTCCTTCTACACTGATCTGCCGTTTACTGAGGCTGTTGGTGGGAAACAGCTGCCATGCCTCACCGAGGTGGGGCTGCACTTCAGTGGTTGATTCTTTGCATAAAATTAAGTGTTAAAGCCTTGGCACGTTTGTCTAATTTGTTGTCATACAAATGACAAAGTTCATGTGTCTGTGAAGCAGAAGTCTCTTTATTTCATATGCATATACAAAAGTCCGGCTTGCAACCACCAGACTTAAAAAATAAGTAGCTGAAGATGGTCCTTTATACCTTAAAACACAAAGAGTTACTGTGACACATTCTAAACAAATGATAAGACAGCAACACATGCCAATTAATTATATCTACTGTAAGTTGCAGACTGGACAACAGTTAGTTTTTCATGTTCTGGGCGTACAGCCAGCTTACCAAATACATGCCCTTTATCTTACTGACCAAAGACAGGCAGCATCTTTATATATTTGAGCGCAAAGGTAACTTCAAGACACTAGACCGCATAGTTTGCAAAAATACAAAAACAAGAAATTATATTATCATCTCACTTCCCAGGTAGCTCTCTTATCTTTTCAAATCTTTCAAGAGTGTTCCTTTAAGAACTATCTTGGTTTACAGTACTAACTATATAAAACCTCTGTAAAATATTAGATTTTATATACATAAATCAATACAAATTGCTTCCAAAAATGAAAAGGCAATCGAATAGAAAGAGAATACGCATAAATAAATTTAATCACATTACTAGTCAGAGGTACAGCAAAATATATTTTGATGGGCTAAAAACTAAAATAAGCCATTTTATTTCTAAAACCAGGTATTTTATATTTTTCCCCTTTCAAAAGCCTATTATTAGTAGTATCAGTATAATATTTTGCATCTGCTGATGTATATTCCATTTTAATTAAAGCAAAATCAAAATTATCTCAATGTTCAGGCCATGTTCCACATTATAATGTGTAATGTTACTGGATGACCTTTAAGCTTTTCACTCTGGTGATGGGATTACCTTAAAATGGCTGAAAAATTATGCTGAAACTACATAGCTAAGTGATAAAAAAGATCAAAAGAACGGTTGGAATAAGAAATGGGGGAACTATGGAAGAAAGAAGTGCCTCTGTTGGACCATCCTTGATATAAATGCACCATCGCATGATGTGAATCTGACATTCTTTCCTTTCCAGATGGCCATGCTGTTAAAACTTCAGGAGGCAGCCAATTACATTGAATCTCCTGATCGTGAGACAGCAGTCGAGCCCAATCTCCAATCTACTCTTTGAAAACTACAAGGAGACTAAAGACTGAATACCTTTGGATGGCTAGTGCTGTTAAGAAGCTTTCTGCCATGTTTTTGATTCATCGATGGGCCTGCAGGCTTTTAGAGTGTCTTTGTCTTGGTTGTGCTGAGTTACAGAAGGAACCTGCAGACACAGCATGTTCTATATCTAGTAGAACTAAAAACTAATACTATTAAAAAGAATTCAGTTGGATTTCACCTTTAATGTTAAGAGAAAATAACTGTTCGTACCGTACTTTTTTGTTTAAACTACAACTGCATGGCAATCATTGCAACAGGTTAAAAACAGAAATTACAGTTTTAGATTTATTTAGTTTTTCTCAAAGAAAAATAATCTTAACCTGTTATTAGAGGTTATATTTACTTTTACTCTAAAAAAACTCTCATTGGGAGGCATTACTGTTCCACTGCTGCCCCTTCACATCACTCAAGGAAACAGGTGCTCACTGGGAACATAACATTATTTTCACACCTCTCTGGTCCTCACAGCTTGTGGGCAGAAATTGAAGCTCACAGAAAAGAAACAGAAATCGTATCTTTGAATGCTTGGCATTATTTTGATATGTCTAGAGCATGTCAAAGTTGAACAGCTGGTTTATTGTCATGGAATTATCCATGCACATGGAAAAGATTTTAGTCTGTGCTTTGAAATTCTCTGATCCACGAACAACAGGTTTGTGCAGTAATTTTTTCAAATTACAGTGTCTTTTTACCCAGCCTCACATTTATTTTCTGGAAAAAACTTAAATTAAAATTTAACAATCAAAACTGAAACAGTAACATAGTGTATTTTAAAATGTCATCTGGTGTTCTCGATGAATATTCAATATGCAAGTAGGTAATTACATTCCTTTCCCTTATAATAAATAGTAATCGCATTTCCCTTATCTCTGTAGCTTGAAGAGCATTTTCCCGTGTTTCCATTCTGAACCTGGAAAACACACAGAAATGGAGTGTCTTACAGGTGTATAGTTCTACATTTTGATTTCATTACTCCTAACCAATATAAATTATTGTGAGAACAGTTTAACTTTAACTATAGTTTAACTGTGTTGATTCACAGAAAAGCAGCATCAAAATCAATACTTTTGTTGACATATTTGAAAGTGAACAAAGTTTCCATTAAAGTAAATCAATTCAATGGTCAATTTAATGTTCTTTGCTCATTCTTCACCAGCATTCTTCAGCTACCATATATGTTGGTCCCTATTACAAGCAGATGGTTTTGGCAGGATGGACAAAACAATTTTTTCTTTAAATCTTGATCTCATTCAGCTGCCAACATCTTGTATTTGATGCTTTGTTAGAAGAAAAAACAACCTATGTTCTTGGATCATGGAATTCAGGTTTCAGTAAGGCAAGCTATGACGACTAAGCCTCAGACACATATGCAATTTTCAATTAAAATAGATGTTAAAAATGGTGCTTAAAAGAACGCCTTAATATATGAACCTCCTTTAGTTATTACTAAGTCATCAAAAAATAATATGTTTCTTTTGTTAGTATCTAAACAAAATATATACCTGTACATACCATCAAAAAGTATAGTGTAGCATGCAGGGAGTCCACATTACCTTCTGTAGAATTCAGGATAGATCAATTGGTGCTCTTCTCCAGTGTGCTATCTTATTAAAGAGACTACAGATTATAAATTCGGTCAGGAGTTTGAGTATCATGTCAGCAATGAAAGCAGTACTGCATAATCTGAGCCAGAGAAAATGTTGCAACAAGCTTGCAACTAGAGTTGCCCAGATTTGGAAATAGTAGCACCTGAAATTATTATTTTTTTAATAAGCAGGGAATTTGAGAGAAACATTTGAGAGGAAACCTGTCTTGTGTTTGCACATATACCTAATTTATAATCTTTTGTTCAAAAAAAAAATAAATCTGCTTTTAATAGATCCTGATGTTCAAATTTTTTTTTAACTCTAGGATCAATGATAATACAATAAAGTTAACCTTCAAGATGTTTTGGACTGAGGTTGTTGAAACAACCTACGATAAAAGATTGCACATGTTGCCCAACCTAAATGGCCTGATCTACGTTTATGTATTTAATCTTATGTCTTGGTTAAATTTGTCTATTGCTTTAATCCTTGATGCACTTTGTTTATTTTACTTTTGAGGTAAATGTGTATCAGTAAGTATTGTTTTAGAATAGAAAGTACAATTATTGTCAGATCCCTTATCCATGTTGGAGGCTGGATTTTAAAGTGCAGTTCAAATGTGAAACTACAGGAGATTGTGGGCTCCCATAACTATATTTCTTAACTTATACATAGGTTATCCTGAAGTGCTTATTCTTACAGTAATGCAGTTTATGGATTCACTTGAATGATGGAAATGGCCATGAACAAAGCTGCCTTTTAAGAGCTTTTTCGATAGAATGCTTTAGGCTCCATTCACTTTTGGTTAGGATTAGCTGTTGAGAAAATGCTGTTTTTTTCTGTTTTTTTTGTGTTGTAGATGGTCATTTTTATTTCCTGCTTTTAATTTCAAAGTCATATCTGTGATGAGAGAATGTTATTTCTTAATGAATATTATGCAGATGTAAGTTGTAGCAGCAAAGATTTTTTCCTTCTACAGGATGAACATCTTTTTTAGCATTGTGGAAGATACAGTTCTAAAGCAGAGACATATCTTCAGTTAATCTGAAAGATAATGGTCAAAATGGTCTGCCAGTTTGACTCCCGCTGCAAATACTTTTTGCAGTTTTATCATTTTAAAGATGAAATAGGATATAGGACTGTATTGTTCTAATTGTCATTGACACTGGTTTTTGTACGTGTAATGTTTTTGTCTGGCTTTTAATTTGACAAACAGATTTCTGAGTCACATTTTTCTATTGATTTTTTTTCAAAATTAATTCAAAATGTTAAGGTACTTTAACTTCAAAGAAATAGAAAATAGATTTGGTAGTTATCTGAGATTTGTAACAATTATAGTCTGAATATAGGCATTGGAAAAAGATATTGCAGCAATGGCCACTGACCATCCAAGTGAACTTCTATACTTTACATTACTTCTACATAAACACCATTTGGCATTGATGGTTAGTACTTTAGTAATACGGTGCGAATATATTTGTATACTTAACCAAATACTTGAATTGTTTTCTAGAATAGTGACTGTAATGTTCACAGATGGAGTAGCTGAGAATTACAAGGAATGTAAGCTTAGTACCTGTTATAGTTCTGTGCTCTTATATTCGATGCATAGATGTGTCAGCCATAGAACAACGTAATTATATTGGTGCTATTATAACTGTCCCTTAGTTATGCTTTTAATTGCTTCTGAAAAGCTACAACCTTAGCTTTTGGATGGCAGTTTATTTTTCATGATTGCCAGCATTTCTATGTTTATAGCATCAGGTTTAAAGTGGTGTTATAGATCACATTGTTTGGGAATAATATTGGCAGAGTCATTTTATTTGTTGGTTGGTATGCAGTGATAGAATGAGTGATTTATACAAAAACCTCAATAGATGTGGTGCTTTGGCATATCCTATCAAAGTATCAACCTGGTCAATGTCTTTCAGAGTTATATTTTAAAAGAATTATGCCAGTACATTTTAAGGAAAAACGTAAGGATCAAATTAAATGGTAAAATCTGAATGTCTTTTTCTGTTAGAGCAAAATTGACTGCAACACTGTGTGTTTGAGTCTCCTTGAATTTGGTTTACCATCGAATTACATTAGCCAAGAGACAAAAGGCAGAGAAGTACCTGAAAATAAAACTTTAAAAAATGGAATGAAAAAAAAGGACTGCCCATAATTTCTGGAATATCAACATATACAATATCTAAGGATATTATCATTTGTGATTGCATGAGTGAATACTAAAAACAAACACCTCAAAAAAAAGTTGACTAAGTGCCTTTGGAAATTTGGTGGTACAATGAATGCAGACTTCATAAACAGGAACTCTGCACTGGAGATGCCCTTGAGTTTTTTCATCGTTAAATACAAACATTGTGGTCTGAATGCATGATGCAAATTATGGCTATTTCTACATCTGCATTAGTACATTAGTAGCAGGGATGGTCCTTAAACATTCTTAGCCAAGTAGTGGTATGAATGAGAAGTAGCAACACCTGATTTGTTCTTGTCCAATTAAACACAAAAATGAAATCCACTCCAACAGCACTGGCTACCGGAGTGTCAAGGATTACTCCCCCACCCAATACTACACTAACTCCCCCTAACTCCCCCTACTACACTCCCCCACTAACAATACTATTACCCTCTATGAAATCCAGCAAATCAAGGAGAATAAACATCTCTCTATCCACCAGAACCTCACAATGTTCCCTGCCATTGTTTGAAGTTGCACAAGACCTTCTGGAAACATTTTAACTCTGTGAAGCTTGTCTAGACAAATGGAACTCAGAATGTTGCAAACGTTGTGAAAGATCCAACTAATTAGGTCCCTCGCTTGATGTTCCATATAGGTCATGGGTATATCTGAACCTCATCTTTACAAATCATTGCAGATGGCAGATATGGATTCATGAACCATGAATGGAAAAGAAAAACTTGAGTGACTATGGTCACCAGAAATAGACTATAGAATACATCTTTCAGTGTACAATCTGCAAACATTAAGGAACTTTTATAGTGATGCACTTTGTCTCTCCTGATCTAGCTAATTATGTGGCTTATACACCCAAATCTAAATTTGTAGTTGCTGCTCTACAGCTACACATTATAACCATATGAAACAAGAAGAACTGGTTCCAGTGCTGTTGTACTGGTTCCCTGTTGTCGAGCTACTCCGCCTGAGCACTTCTTCTAAGCGTTAGGGAAAATAAAGTGAATTGGAGAATTACCCAATGATCCTTACTTTTTGTCAAGGCAACAGCTGTTGAACCTAGGCTCCAGTTAACTAATGGTATAAGCTTTAGTGTTTCAGAATGTGAAGAAGCAGTAATGAGTCTGGTATCTTCTATCCCTGGAGGACAGATGCATGTATCTTTGATTCTGGTATTAATTCAGGAATATGGCTCTGGGGGCAGAAATGAAAAGAGGGAGCCTTGGAACTGGGGTATTTAAAATGGGGAAAAATAAATTGCCATTCCTGAATTCAGAACAAATAAACATGAAACGTGACCAACCGGCATAGAGGGAGACAGCTAGAAATTGATATGGTTGTGGTTTTTCAGAATGCAGAGTGTAGATTTACACTTATTCATCTCAGCATCTTGATCCTAATGGAATTGATGGAATCTTAATTGCATATCTCAGCATTAAGTGTTGTAGGGCACAAATGCACTTAATGTAACAAAGTACAAAAAGCTTTAGGCTTTAGCAGTTGTGGACCAGTAACTTCCCATTATGGATATGGAAAATGTTAAATCATGTCAAACTTAAACTGAAACTGCATGCTAGTTTTGTACAGTGGGAGGGTGGGAAACTATGTAACACAAGGTAAAAACCCATCTAGGTATTTTAAATGCATTTCTTATGAAAAGCTTGTAAGTTTTTTTATTGTTCTGAATTAGGTTATAAACTTGTGCAAAATTGAATACTCTTCTTTTTTAGCAGTTATTGAAATGATAAGTTGTCTTTTTTCCTTAGGACTTTTAACTCAATGCATTCAGGTACCAGAAATCTCATAAATAAGTGAATGCAACAGTGTTACTGAAAAACCTCAAATCAAGCCTTATAAAATATGTATTTAAAAGAGGCTGTCCTATCCTGAATCTATCTTAATTTTAGCAGGGACAAAGTGTTAACTAAGTCATGTTCTTTACTTTCTATCATGTGTGACTCTGATCATTTCCTGTTTTAAAAGTAAGGTATGATTAACAATTTGTCCCAAAAAAAGTAGACTTGGGGCTTTTGCATACTTAAGTAATTTTCAATCAACAAGACCATAATAATGATAATATTATTAATAATGATTTTTACAAACTAGATTTTTTTATTACTTGGGATTTTTGTGCATTGCTTTTTATTAAGCTGTGGAAAATAAGGTTTATTTTTTAATTGGTTAATTTTTTAAGAAAGGACAAAGCATTCATGGTTTCTATTGGCATGCTCAGAAAGTAGGCATTTTTGGAATGTAATTTATTTAAGACATTGGAGTGTTACAAATGTATTCAGTGTTGGAAAATTTGAAAAAAAATGAGACTTTTTTTTTGTATGTTTCTTATTCATAGCTCTGTAGGATTTTTATTATTTTTATTTTATCATCAAAACCTAAAAAACTGGAACTTAAACAACTGAAAATGAAGGCCAATACAAAACATACAAATGAGGAAACACCTTTACTCTGCAAAGGGGCATATTCTTAGTACTGTCACACTAAAACATTTCAGTCTGTATCTCTCTATCTTAAGTATGTTAACAGGGTATTGATAAAATGAAAATGTACTTAATAAAGGTTAATAATGCATGAAAATTGATTCTCCATCTGCAAAACAAAGCACCTGTATATATGTTGTCGGATTTAAAATAGATATAACTAACCTATGTAAAAGCATTTAATAGTTCCAGATGTATAAGTTCTCTACTTTTAACGTTCAAATCTCATTTGAAGATCACAAAAATAGGGAACATTTTCTTGCATAATAAAGATATGCTTCAAGATGTCTTCGTACAACTCGCTTAAAAATGACTTCAAAAAGCACTGTACTTTAAATAATACCCAGTTTTTGGGATAGTATTTACATCACCTTAGATATAAATAAATGCCTTCCAGACTTATTGTTGTTGGAATAAATAAGGATTAGAAAATTGGCTTCTGAACATCAAGGCCAACATATAAGATGCTGAAAAGAGAAGAAAGGAAACAAAACGTTTTGGCTGTGGAGCCTTTTTCGGGTGTGACGTTTCCTTTCATCTCTTTTCAGTATGGATTAACCTATTACTTGTTCCTTTGCAGCCTATGCATGCTGATGCAACTACCCACTTGAACAACATATAGTAAGATTGCACATTAGTATTTTTCTTACCTTTAAAACAAAGTGCAAGAATACAAATTTAATTTACAATCTATTGAGAAACCTACCTGAGCATGCCATACAACACCATTGTGATTCTGTCTTTCTATTTTTTTTTTTACCCTGCCTTCTGTAAACTTCCTCTAATTGTTGTAACTGTTTCTCTTTGTGGGTTCATGTGCAGTGCTGAAGCAGTTATCCTGTGTAAGAGGACTATACAGCAACTTATACTGGCTTTGCCAAAGAATATGTAACAAAGCTACATACAGGTTTGCGCCAAATAACAACAAAAAAAACAATAATAAAGCATTGTCTTTATGCCAGTAAGGATGTATCAGTTTGTTTTAATCAAATTTGAGAAAGAGTTCAGATGAAAAAGGAATTGAAATGTTTTCTCTCTTCAAATAGTGTCACTAGAACTACTTATTTAAGGCCTTATTCTAAACAGTTTTAAATTCAGAGCTTGTGTGTGTGTAATTTTAGGACCTGCTGTGGCCTTATTAGTTTTTTGAGGGCTTTAGAATGTTTCAAAAGCTATTTCTTTGGAGTGGTGGTGTTTCACACTCATTTACTACAAATGTTGACTTCAAAAAATGGCCTTTGAATGGTTTTACCTGACAAGCCAAAGACATTAGTCCCTAAAGATACAGATAGGTAAGATTTTGTTGATACCCCAAATAATTAGTGATATTATGAATGTTATATTTGTAAGCTGATTTGGTTTCAAAAATATTTCAAGTGTCTTGTCAAGGAGCTCAACACTAACTTTTTATTTGTGTAAAGTATCCCATTCCCAGTTCTGATTGTTTCACCTGCATCTTTTTGTGCAAGTGACCAGTTTATAAAATCCAGGTATAATTAAAAATCCACCTTTTGAATTTATAATTTACCTGGCATAGTGCAGGTTAGGAATCAGAGGTGGTTTGGAGGAGAATTAAAAAAAAAAATTTAAGTCCTTGGTATAAGCTATCTGGCCTGGTTGAAAATATAGGTAATCAAGTTGCATTAATACTACAGTCTTTAAGGCACAATTAAATTTGATCTATATCTGATTCGTTTATTACACAAACTAGACTAGAGCACATTCTGAATCATAGTAGGGAGTTTGATACTCTCTACAATATACATAGCCGATGAGAAATAAGGAATGTATTTTTGCTGCTAGACAAAAGAAACTGGCATAATTATTGGCAAAAATCAAAATTACTGTTTGGTTTTTAGAGGTCATTTGACTTAAAAAAAAATAATTCAACCTTTCCAAGATTCTTAAAGAATACAACTCAGTTTCCACCGTGGGATTGTCCAGTGCTATACATTACAAGTTTTTCATTTTGAGGCCAATACAGGTTGCTGAATAGTCACACTTAAGTCTTAATCTTGCAAAGTTAGTTAATTACTTTTTTTTAAAAAAAGGTGTTATGATGGTATCTTATGTAACTGACGTGCAACTTCGATGGATTCCTAAGTGTTGTAAATGCATGTCACCTTGGTGTGTTTGCAAAGCCTTTGAAAGGACCTGAGTTTGTTGAATTTTTTATATATTTGATTTAACTTTTTTTTTAAGAAACAGACATTTGTTTTTCCTAAGCAATCCTTTGTAAAACTTTCTCTCTATTTTGTACAGGATGTTATAATTGTAAACAGTGTAAATAAGTAGCGCATCCGCGACAACAATCATTTATCGAAAAATAAAATAAGAATAATTTGGCCATTGGAATCTAAGAGAAAAACTACCTTTTTTATTACTTAAGTGTCAAGGAACCTTGCAGAAATGGGTACATAAAAGGCATGTTTTTAAAAATACAAAACTATCCATCTGTCTAACGTTGTCCGTTTGTTTCAATAAAGTCATGCCATATAGAATGTTGTAATCTTGCTTCTTTTTTCTCCCCATTAATGAGCATTTTAAGTTCAAGTTTACAAATTGTGACAAAGCATCTTTTAATGCTCAGGACTATCTCAGGGCTGTTTACAATTAACTGCAGTTCAGTCAGCCAAGATTAAAGAAGAAGATCTGAACATTATACAAGAAATTAAGTTTACCTGTGGTATTTAATTCCATTGGAGGAATCGGCATAGCATCTGACACAGAAAATGAATTCCCAACATATAAAATATGAATAAAATAATAATAATAATAATTGCTTACACTTATATAGCGCTTTTCTGGACACTCCACTCCACTCCAAAAGCGCTTTACAGGTAATGGGGACTCCCCTCCAGCACCACCGATGTGCAGCATCCACCTGGATGATGTGACAGCAGCCATAGTACGCCAGAATGCTCACCACACATCAGCTATCAGTGGGGAGGAGAGCAGAGTAATGTAGCCCATTCATAGAGGGGGATTATTAGGAGGCCATGACTGGTAAGGGCCAATGGGAAATTTGGCCAGGATGTCAGGGTTACACCCCTAGTCTTTTCGAGAAACGCCCTGAGATTTTTAATGACCACAGAGAGTCAGGACATCGGTTTTACGTCTCATCCACAGGACGGCGCCTGTTTTACAGTATAGTGTCCCCGTCACTATACTGGGGCATTAGGAGCTACATGGACCGCAGGGTGAGTGCCCCCTGCTGGTCTCACTAACACCTCTTCCATCAGCAAACTTAGTTTTTTTTTTCCCAGGAGGTCTCCATCCAGGTACTGACCAGGCTCACACCTGCTTAGCTTCAGTGGGTTGCCAGTTGTGAGTTGCAGGGTGATATGAAAAATAAGTGAAACATTTCACCTAAATCATTTTATTCAGTTGGAATTCAGTTAATTTCTGTGTTTTATTGTACCTGCTTGGAGCTCACTGCACTACCAGCAGTGGTAATATAAAAAAATGAGGAAGTGTTAGAGTAAATGGGTGGAAGCCCTCGTTTAAAGGTAAATAGAATTTTGTAATACACTCTAAATGTCAGCATTAGAAATGGGTCCTGAGGGTTTCCGGTGATGTCATGTAAGCAATGGCTGCTTAATTTTTTCGCACTCTCAGTTCTTTAAAAAAAAACCCCAACAAATAATATAAAACAAACACTAAGTTTGGTCGACAATGGAAAAACAAGGAAGAGGAAGTCAAAACACTCAAAACTACTCAAAAGGATTTTAAAAAAGGAACGGGGAGACTGAAGCGGGGCTCAAGGAGCCAGTCCGAAGATGCTGAAGATCGCAAATCCCCTGTGAGCCTCGAAAAATGTTTTAACAAACTGAGAGATTTCAGAAGGGATATTAAGAAAACGTTAATGTGGGGCGGAGCAGTGGCACTGTGGCTAAGGATCTGTGCCTGTGGCCTGAAGGTTGCCAGTTCAAAGCCCATGGCTGGCAGAGGAATCCTACTCCGTTGGGCCCCTGAGCAAGGCCCTATACCCAAACTGCTCCAGGGGTGCTGTACAATGGCTAACCTTGTGCTCTTACCCCAAGTTTCTCTCCCTGTCTGTGTGTCTGTTTCTCTTGGAGAAAAAGCTGGGATATATGAAAAGACTTAATGCAAGAAATTGTATATGGCTAATAAAGTGATCTTGTCTTATCTTAGATATTGAAAGAGCTCACGGAAATCTTGCCCCTAAACCAGTGAACCCCCAGTCCAGATCAAGATCTATTGTCCTCAGATTTCTAAGATTAAGAACCAAAGAGGTTTTAGCGAAAGCCAGGGGGGAAAAAGGAGCTGTTCTATGAAAACAAAAAGGTGTACTTCGATCACAATTATGCACCTGATGTTCTTCAGAAATGGCTGGAGTACAAAGAAATTAAAGACACTGAAAGAAAAAAACATACAATTTAAAACTTTTCCAGCCAAACTAAAGGATTTTTTCAACTCGCGAGTCCAAACGTATAACTGTGCCACGGAAGCTACTAAGGACTTGATACGCCGAGGTCTGATTACGACTGCGGCTGGAGCGATGGCTGCAGCGAGCGTCACGGAGGAGCAGGTTAGACAGGGATCACGGCAGCGGGCACACAGCCACAGGGGGAGACGCAAGGAGGAGGCACTGACAGAGGAGCAGTACAAGACATTCCAGGCTTTCCGCCGCCGAACTTCACCAGATGACTGAGACTGTATTACAATCCTCAGAACTAAAGCGCATGCTTATCTACTGGATTAGTGCTATAATATACTGTAAGTTTACTCTTTCGATACCTTCCAGTTGTGAAGTTACTAAGATATTTATGGAGTTATTTGTGTTTTGTAATATAAATTTGGTTGATGTAGATAATCTTGCAAATTAAAATTCAATATAATGTTTTTTTTTAACAATAAAAATGTCCTCATTAAATAAGGTAAAATAGATTAGAGACCAAGAGAAGTGAAGAAACATAGTAATATATTTATTTAGGGTCCTCTTAGAAAATAAGAGGTTTTAATTTTATTCTCGTTCCCAAATTCCCTGAAATTTTTACTGGGGCATAAAGGGTGGGGTTGTATTCTCGACCCCCCACATGAAGTAAAAAAAAAAAGTTGTGGGTTTTTTTGTTTGTTTTTGTACAATAGTTTAGAATGCCAGCATGGTTGAGTGACTGGGAGGTTTCTATGCAAAATTCTTAATCTATATGATGTCTTCACAGAATATTAAAGTAATTTCTTTTAATGTTAATTGTCTACATAATCTGATAAAAGAAGTAGAACACTAATAAAAGTTAAACGTCATAAGGTCCAGGTAGTGTTTCTCCAGGAGACTCATCTGACATAGAACATGCTAAATTGAAAAGGATGGCTTTTGATAGTTTTCTATTCATCTCATAAAACGGGACGTAAAAGGGGAATAACTATACTCATTCCATCAACAGTTAACTAAGTATTTATCATAGATCAAAGACAATGATGGTAGATTCATCGTTGTAAGAGGGAAGATAGAAGACTCTGTAATTACAATGTTTAATATCTATGCACCACCAGGAAGTGATAGGTCTTTTTTTTTAATGTTTGATTTAATAGCTGCAGAAACGGTGGGGGTGCTAATATTCGGAAGAGATTTTAATCTCAATTTAAATCCAAAATTAGATACTTCTAAGAATTGTAAAAGGAAACATTCTACTTTAGAGAAGTACAGTATATGAATAGATCTATAGAAGATGTAGGCCTAGTTGAAGTATGAAGGGATCTTTACCCTACAGGAAGGGAAAATCCATTTTTCTGCACCTCATAATTCATACAGTAGAATAGACTACTTTTTAATGTATAAATTAAACAGATCAAGAACATTGGATTTGTCTGGCCCTGCACCAGGTTATCTAAATTTAGACTTAAATCTGGTCAAAAAGAATACTGCTTTGAAGATGAACTGTAGGGTATTGAATGATAATAATGTTAAAGAGCAAATTATGCATGAGTTTGAACAGTTTTTATAGACTAATGAGAGGTTTCCCCAGCAATATTATGGGATACAGTTAAAGCTGTAATGGAAACATATTTCCATTTGTTTATGTAAAAAGAAAATAAAACAAGCCAAATTAAAATAATTACAATCTGAATTAAAAATTATAGAACAAATTATAGAACACCCACTTGTACAATACATAAGCAATTACTGAAAATTAGGAAAGAAATTACAAATAATAGAGTTAGAAACAAAACTAAAATTTCTAAAACAGTATGAATCAGGAGCCATATCAATTAAAATATTGGCAAGAAGGTTATGCAAAAAAACATCTTAATCAATAATCTCCAAAATCGTTAATCCAGTAACCAAATACAATCCAAATTAAAATAAATACAATCAATCTTCACAGAATTACTATAAAAATGTATATTCCAGTTCTGAAACTCAAAATAAAAAAGATATAGTCCTTTTATTAGATTCACTTAACCTGCCAATTTTAAGTGAGGAACAAAATAACATTAACTAGAGTAATAAATAAGATGGAAATGAATAATATTATTTCAGATCTTAAATCTAAAAAAGCACCAGGGACAGATGGCTTTCCAAGTGAAATTTCAAAAAACAGTTGGCTCCCCTGCTCCTGTCTACTTGCAACTGGATAAGAGGTGGAGGGAATTTACCACCCTCTTGGAATGTAGCTATAATTTCTGTTATCGCAAAAGAAATAAAAGATCAAACTAGATGTGGGTCTTTTAGCCCAATTTCCATACTTAATGTAGACTATAAGATTTATGCTTCAATAATGGCTAAAAGATTAGAGAAAATTACCACAAAAAATGTTAACAAATCAAACTGGTCTCATTCAGAACAGACAAACACAAGACAATATCAGACGTACCCTTCATATTATGAAGTATATTAATGATCAAAGGAGGGAAGCAATTTTTGTCAGCCTAGATGCAGAAAAGGCCTTTGATCGATATCAGATTTATATTTTATATTATTTATTGGAGAGATTTGAATTTTCTGATGAATTTATCAACATAATAAAAACAATTTATTGAAATCATATAGTAAAAATCTACATCAACGGACATCTGTCTAAGAGATTTTGTTTAAAAAGAGTTACAGGACAGGTGTTCTCTGTCACTTCTTTTGTTTTCTCTATATATTTCTTAGCAGAGTGGATTAGACATGACCCAAAAATTAAAGATATAGAAATTAAAGGTAAAGAACATAAGATTGCATTGTATGCAGATGATGTTCTGCTATATTTGGATGAACCCAATAAATCATTTATCAGAGTAATGGATCTTTTGGAAAAATTTGGTCAGCTATCAGAATACAAATGAAATATAGAAAAAAACAGATGTTCCATGTTATAAGTATAACCCTATAGATCATTTATCTATAGATATTGATATTTATCAAAATAATTCAATTCAAATTTCAGTCCTCTAATATGTTAAATAAAAGATGATCTGGCTGGCTGGAGTCTGCTACCTCTTTCATTGGGATCAAGAGTTAAAATTAAAATTGAATATTCTGCCGTGATTACTT